CCCGTTTCATTCATAAGCATTCACCTCGTGTACATTATATTTATATTTTTTTAGGTTGGTCGTTGTTATTATTATCAATGCAAATGCACACAGTTTTAATTCACTTTTTTTTCTCTCCCTGTTCATTATTATCCTGTTGCGCAGAATACATTTCGTTCGGTATTTGCATCCCCAATTAATACTCTTATCTGCAGCATTCACTCCATTCACTCCATTCAATTCCACAGTTGTGTTATTCTATATAAACCAAATACATAACGATTATTATGATTTATTTAATAGTTAATCATTTCTATTTGTACGTACCTATTTTCAATTTTTTCACTACATTATTATTGTATAGTTCATTCATATCTATAGTTATAAATATCTGCTCTTACTCGCACTTATGACCAATCGCGTTTCGACCTGCAATATGAATAAATTTGAAGTTATGCAACAAAATGTTTATAATTTTACAACGACCAATTCTCTTAAGCCTACGTTAGACAACTACTGTATTACTTCTACGGGTACGACTACGTCCTTAATCCTACGTTAGTGTTGTGGGGTATCACATACTCCAGTGAAATTCCAAAATTCCACCCTTCATTTCCCCTCAATTAAACATCCAAATGGTATTGACTTTTGTCAGCAGTCACGTTAATGACAGTCATTACGTAATAGTAGAAAGGCGTTTTAAAAAGTTACTTTTACGGTATTGATTACCGTATTTCGCTCTGCTGTTGAATGATCATCATTCGTTATTCTTGGTGGGCCTTTGAGATTCTAATCTTCGTGGGGAATTCATTATACGAATTGTAATTGCCTGTACTTAAAAACTGCGCCCTGCACACAAAAGCTGCAGCAGATAAGTAATGATAATTGCCCCAACAATTATGACTGGGATGACTTATTATCTCATCGTTAGGCTTACGACATCGCATTTTCAAATTAGAAAGCTCGAATTCATTTTTGTTGAATGTAGATGGCATTTCTTGAGTCAAAATTATTTAGTAATGAATAAATAGATATCAAAATAAGTATGTGCATTTCAAGATGAAATCCATTGTATGTAGATTTTAATTGGATAAATAATTCAATATTAAATGTTTTGAATTAAGAAAAGTTATCAGAGTAATTAATCAAAATTTTCTCATTATAAATTGTGAGTCTCTAGATGTTAAATTGTATCTAAATATATCTTTAGATGTTATAAAATTGGATTATCTGCTACAAACGTCGGTAAAGTTATATATATCAGCTATATTTGCTTGTTCAAACAGATCTTTACATCCGTGCTAGCCTTCGAATCCGGAGACATTCGATGTTCTCGTTAATGTTTGTGGAAAGCTTTTCCTCTCTAAGTCCTCTTTCAATCCTGACAATAATCGTAATCGTTCCGACAACAACGCTTTAAAATATGAATCCTAAACAAGAAAAAAATCAATTACTCTTTAAAAATTGGTGAATTTAATTAAATAATTGTATTTATTAAGAAGTTTCCCTCCGAACAAACTTGTTTGAAATGTTACTTTATCAATCCTGAGTTAGTAAAAAGTGATACCTCCAAACATTTAAAAAACAATGAAATTCTAAACTAGTTTATAATCTGAAATGGTAATAATTATAGTTTGTTGTTAGTAAGTAATTACTTAATATGATCTAATTTCCCAACATTATTATATTTAAACTTACTTGTATTCCCCTATGTGTCATCCAAAATGCATTTTATTTGACAAATATAAGTTTAGAAACTTTAGATCCATATCTCCCAATCGAATTTTCTTGTTAACCTATATCTTTACAGTGTTTCCTGCTTCAGATATTTCCAAAGCTACTTTGATTCAGTATTTTCCTTCTTTCTTATCTATTTCGCGTTCAACACCACCCCTGCTATTGTACTGAAAAATTTAATTTTACTACCCAATAATATTTTCGCAACTACTGACTTGTTCACAAGTTCACAATTGTTAGAATTGGATATTTATTCAGACATGAAGCTGTAGTTGTTTTGTTTATCGTTTATTACTGAAAAAAAGAGACATACAATAAATATGACATACATACATAAAGACATAAATAATAATAATTGCGCTAAATAAAGTATAAATGTGATATATTAAGACTGCGTTATCCAAATTACATAAAGGGTGTCCCAAAATTAACGATAGATTTGTATTAAATAGAAAACAAAGTTTTTAGTCTTCAAGTTGTGATTTTTTTATTGAATCATAAAATACATAGGTTAGGGTTATTTATGGAATAACACATCGAGCAAATAGCCTCCACAGCTTTGCTGGCACATACGCACACTTTTATCGAATTTTTCCATGACCATTTTGCATAAATGTGGCTGAATTTTGTTGATGCGGCGTTTAATTTCTTTCTGTAATGCACGGGTAGTTGTGGGCTTGTTGACATAGACCTTTGACTTCAAATAACCCCATAAAAAGAAATCTAATGGTGTTAAATCACAAGATCTAGGGGACCAAATCTGATCACCGAAACGAGAGAGTACACGACTAGGAAATGTCTCATGCAGTAATTGAATTGTTTCACGGGCTGTATAGCATGTGGCACCATCTTATTGAAATCACATGTCGTCTATATCAATATCATCCAACTTAGGCAGAAAGAAGTGTGTTATCATGTCGCGATATCGAGAACCAGTTACAGTCACTGCTTGAACAGCCTCATTTTAAAAAATGTTGCCTCCAGCCCAAAATCCGCACCAAACAATGACAAGCTGTGGATGCATTTGTTTTTCGACAATCACATGTGGGTTCACTTTACCCCAAATGCGACAATTTTGGCAATTAACAAAGCCATCAAGGTGAAAATGTGCTTCATCGCTTAGGATGATTTTGTTCGAAAAATCAGCATCCACTTTTTGATGCTCAATAATCCATTCAACGCCCCATTTTTACTAACCCTAACCTCTCAGCTATCAAATTGTTTATTTTTTGAGGTTGCCAACACTTTACTGCACAAATGGCAGCAAATTCAAATCTTTCGTTAATTTTGGGACACCCTATATAACAAAAATCAAGGACTCTCCTAGTTATGTGGATTAGTGATATTCTTTATGTTTATCATATGTGTACAACATATGAATGTTTATTTGCAAGTCACTATTTATGTTACTAGTCCCTAGTTTATTGTATATATTTACGAAATTATAGCTCGTATAGAGAATATAAGCAGGTGCATTGCATCCGTTGGTTGCGATTAGCATCTGCCGTGCATAAAATAGTGTTGACACTTCCACTAATTTACATATATATAGTAATGGTATTTAACATACTTTTTTTATTTTAAATGTGTTTGATAATTATTAGAAGTTTTTCATTATAAATGTTATGCGGTTTATAAAAGTATTTAACTCTTATAAACGTTATTATTATATTATATTATTATTATTTCCATAAGATAAAATGTAAATTTTTAAATTTACATTATAATAATCCGTTCCAAATCCCCAAATTTTTTATTTGTTTATTTTAATAAATCATTGATATTACTAGAGGGTTCCTTTACATTATCACTTGACAATTTTCTTATTATATTTGAAGAGAAAATTCTCTATTTTTTGTATGATTTACTTAATTGAATTTTCTTAGCTCGACTTTCAATTTTTATTTTTATTTGAAATTATCAATTTTTCTTCGAGTTTGAAGTTGTTTAAATATAAAATAATCCATTATTTAATATTGTGTATATGATTTATATGTGAACATTTGAAATTAAATTTACTTTGAAACAATTTGCTTACTATAATCTTAGAATAGAAACTGCGTGAGTTAGAATTAAGTTCGTTCTATGTCGATCTGTTGATTTCGACACGTTAACAATGTTTACGTTAACCTAGGCATCGGGAATCAATTGTTAAGCAGCACTTTGTATACATGAAACAATAAATTATGAAATGTGAAAGAAGGACGGCACGAATCGAGCTGTGCGGAGGGGTGGGATTCGGTCTAGGAGCGGCATGTAATTAAACCGCGTGCGCGTGCAGCTGCCTGCACATATTTCATCCCCTAAATTGTTATGACACCCTCCAAACTGGAAACCCCGGGCACTTCGATGTTCGTCCAGACAGCTCGAACAAAACATTAACAAACAAAACAAAAAATATATAAAATCGCCTCGCTCACTAGAATATTGCACCGGTGTACCGACGCGGAAATAACGTCGCATTGAATGCTTTCAAAAAGCGAAATGTAATAAACTGTAGATATAATGCATTATTCATTTGGCGGAATATAGAATCCGATGGCTCGAACCTATCTATTTTTCATTTGCAACTGTTATGATACAAATAGGATCATTTTATTGATTAAATCGCTATTAATTATTTTTATTTTATACTTTTGAGACAATTGAGTTTCCTAAAATTATTTTCTCGTAACTTATATTTTGGATAAAGGCTTAATTATTTTTTGGTATTATTTTTTTAGAGACATGATTTGCAACTATTAGATTCCTTAGCGAATTTGAATTGAAATAGGTTTTCGGTATTATTGAATGTATTTCAGTGAAGTAATTATAATCGCTGTTCATGGACACAATTTGTTGGAATAACAAATATAAACTTGTCAGATCTTATGGTAAATTGATATGGAAAGAACTTGTTATTTTAACTATAGTTTTGTATACGTAAGCAAATGTAAAGAAATCTTATAAATATTCTCAGTTGATAAACTCTGCACTAAAACTAAAGTGATTAGCAATTAAACGAAGTAGTACGTTATAAATATTTAAATGCAATCATGTTTAGTGTAAAGAGAATATTATTATTCTTGGATCAGTTAAAACGGATGGTCTAGGATCCGCCTTTCAGGTATTTAAATATTGATGAATAAATCAATTTTTAATATTGTTGATTCAATGCTTTGCAAGGAGCGCATTCCAGTCTCGGCTTCATACAGGATCGTGGAGGTATGAGATCCTGGTACAACATACACATAAAGACAGACACCAACCAGCCAACGCATACATGAACAAGTTTAATATCCGTAATGGATCTCTTGGGTAAAGCTTCGGTAAAATTCTTCTTCCTAATTTCGACATTGTTGTGCATCGTCCCGTACCACTACAAATTTAAAATGAAAGTAATGAGAGTATACGCGTTTATGGTGTTGGCTCTGTACACAATCCTGTTCCTATATACGATTGAGATGAGAATAATTGACAGAAACAGAGTTCGTCTGCGGTTTATTGAAGCAGCCCTCGAACTATGTCTATTGATGATGCGAACGGCATTGATATTACTCATGATCATACCTAGGATTTTCACGAACCCGCACAGATATTATCGGGTCTTTGAATATTTACGATACCAAAGTTGGATTGAGGATTCCAGCATACGAAAACAGATTCTGTTCACTCAAATTGTAGCCTTCGTCACCTGCATACCACAATTTATTATACATAGGTATTTCTTCGTGAACAGAGACTTCAGTTTCATGAATTACGTGGGCTTGTATCTAAATATCATCATTGTTCTGAATATGTATTTGGTGATTTTGGGTCTTCATCGGAGGATTAATGAGGTCAACGGGAAATTGCAAGCCACTTTGGAGTACGCTAATGAATTTAGGAGTATCAAAGATGGAAGGGCTTTCAGGTTCGTCCGGGCCGCCGGCAATTTTCAGGCTATTCTTAGGCAGTTCACCGAATTCTGCGACGTGATTGATCTCAGCAACACACTGTTCGGTTGGAAATTGCTTTTGCTCGTGTGCATTATCAGTTTGTCCCTAATATTCAACATCAACAACGTTTACAACTACTACGAAGATAAAGATAAGCCAATCGCTTACAAATGGCTTTACTTGTCCATAAGTCTTTGGAACTTTTGTATTTATTGTGTAAGTTACAACGTTTTCCACTATATACCTGTCAATACATTAGTTATTCTTCTGTTTTTTTTCTTCCAGTTACTAGGTATCTCCTTAACGTACTCGTGCAACAGAGTATACAAAGCGGGGCACGACGTCGGAAAGAATTGCTACAAAATCCTGCTGCGATCTCCGGGGACGTCGCACGTTATCGGGGGTGGCGATAATCCCGACGGAGAGCTTCTCCTATTAATTCATTTATCTACCAGCAGGAAACCCGCTTTGTATTTAGCTGGAACCTTTCTGGTTGATAATTCCCTTCTGCTACGCATTTTCACCAGTGTCATTTACTACATCATTGTTATCTTACAATTTAAGGACTCTTAAAACTTTGTCCTTCCCATGATTACATTCTCGGAGCAAACTAGTTTACGTAACAGAGAATTAACTTCTCTTAAAATATCCAGCAAATCCTGTAAGGCACAATTAAATTCTATTGCACGACACATTGTTTCCCATCGCACCAACAAATAATGTTTGCAATTGTAAATTACAAATGATATCATTAAATATTAACTAATGATATAAAATTTATGAACTATTAACTAAAAATCAATTATTAATGCTCATTTACACAAATTCCAAGATAATTATTAAGAATATTTTGTATTCTTAAATTAATTATAATTAAATTTGCAATATACTATTAGATTTTATCCTATTCAATTATTGTTTATGAAGAATACTTTTCACCATTCCTTTAGGAACTCCTATTCCAACTTAACTTAGATTTTTTTTTATTTAGATCTGAAAGAATTAAAAAGAATGATTTCAATAAAAGAACATGTTTAGCAAATTAAATGTACAATCGATAAAACGAGAACTGAAAAGATATAAATCTGAATGAAAAGAACAAAAAATTGCTTTGAATTCAATTTTTTTTTTCGTATAAATATTATATTAATATGCGTAATAAAAGAAGAACCTTTTTTTCTTCTTTCGTGGTAATATAATACCTACATATTTATGAAGTAGGCAATTGGTTTTCTTTATTAGAATTCTGAGACTCACCCCATGAGAATTTCCACGGATTACAGGGGGAAGGATATATAGAATGCCAATTAGAGGTGAAAGCTGAGCGAGAGAACGATCGAGAGAGTCGACATGTGTGTTAGAGAGAAACAGTAAGACGCAGAGAGCAAGATGACGTTGAAATTGGTTAGGGTGGATGGAGGAACCCGAAACTGTTTTTGGCAACTAATCTTGCCGTAATTAATAAAAACTGTAATTACGGAAGTACAATTTGTCACCATTAATTGCGTTTTGATTACACCAAGTATCAGTAAAAATGTGCGTATCATCATTATTATTTATATTTTACCATCCATAAATTTATAGTGTATATAAATGCTTTCTGTAATACGTTCAGTTACAAACATTTTATTTAGATTATATAATATTATAAATATTGTTAAAAGTTTATTTATCCTATGAACACATCTTTGCTATACATTTTATTTAACATGATATAACCATTTTTTATTGTTATATTTTGTAAAATAACATATTTGGTCTGTCTAAAAGTTGAGTAAATAATTTATATCGACAATACGTATGTGTGAACACTCCCAATAATGTACATTCATTCATGGGCTCTTATTCATTAGAATCGTGTAGTTGTAATCATTTACATCATATTAAATCAGGTGCCCTAAATGAATGAGCAAAATATTATTTAGTATAGAACGTTATATAAGTAACATTAGCTTTAATATTTTAAAAAATATAGAAATAACTTTAATATAATAAAGATTGATATATAATGTAATAAACGTGCATTATTATCCTCATAAAATAAGTTGCTGTAAGAAAGGTTTCGGTCTTTGTTTCTTTTCTCGCGTATTAGACAGGAGCTAGAAAATAAATGCGAACAAAGCAGCTTTTAAAAAGAATTACGTCGGAGCTTGTTTATGGGGGTGAGCTGATGTTGTATGATCTTGATTAAAATAGTTGCGCTGGTTTTATAGGCATGGGATGTAAAACTGAGCGGGGGTTGGAGGGTGGCTGGCTGGATTTGAAAGGAGTCTTTGTTGTACAAAAGATGACGGGTAAATAAAATTAAAGTTTTCAAAGCGAAAACATCAAGAAGAACGCCAGACGAAGACTTTCACAGTCTATAGTTAGCGAGCGAAAATAATACAATTTGTGTAATAGCTCCTTCCCATCGCCCGTTCCTTAACCCATCCCCCTCATCTTGTCAAAACGTTTATACACATTTCGGCTTTGAGCGGAAGAGGGTTTGTATGTAAATTATTGTGTGTGCATATAAATGTGTGCGTTTGAGTGTGCATGTGAATATTTTCTGAAGGGAGAGTGGAAATTCCAGCTTTTTTTTTTAATTGTGTTTCATTGATTTTATCAAGGAAAAACCTAATTACGGAAGCTCTTTATTCCCTCTCGGCGCTGAGGGTCGGGTCGTTGCATCGTATTAAGGCGTCGCGACGCTTATCTGTGCGAAGCGTGGGTTGGGGGGTATATTGGGGGTTGACGGTGCGCGCAGTCGGAGGGTCGAGTTTGGAAACGTGGGTCTTGTGCGAGCGACAGGCGGGGTAAGGGGGCCGCTTTGGGGGTTGGACACGGTGTGGAAAAACGTGTAAGACGCTCGGCGTCAACCTTATCTGGCGACGCCACCCCTAGTCTCCCCTCGCCGCGCCATCTACCGCCGATATCACCGCCCGTATTTTATTCATACGCAAACATAAATACCCCCTCGCTTACGTAACCGGGAATTTATTTATAAATACGCTTCGCACACATTCGGGGAAATTTATCTGAGTAAATTGAACACGCACGACACGTTATCGATTTCCACGGTTGCACTGGGGACACGTTAATACCCCATAATTAATTCGCAAAATCCGTCTCACCTCGCATTCTTCTTCCTCTTGCACTTCATCTGACTTCTCGTTTTTCTACTTCACGCATGAAAATACCAGAAAATTGTATTCATCGATCAGAAACGACTCGATGTAGTTTCAAGTACTTTTTGGAAAGCAACACATGATAGTCCTTTTTTTTTTAATTAAACTATATATACATATACATGCTTCTCTGACAGACACAGATTATGATAATTATATAAACTACGAATCTACCGTACGTACAAAGTACTTTACCTAATGGATATATGATATATTAAATATTACAAACATCTTTTGCTCGTAATTCCATTACTATCAAACTTGCATTGATCATTCAGTAAATTATGTGACAATAAATCAAATTTACTATTCCTTTTACAGTTTACAGTAATTAGCTGGACATACTACAATATAATAATAATTTATTTCAAACATGCAAACAACATACAACATGTTTTCTTAATAATTAATTAGGCTGAAAGAGGCTAAAACCCATAGCAGTCTACATTTAATACCACACCCTATATCATTGTAATACAAATATGTAAATAAAAATTTTAAAATTTAAAACTTAATAATTAATTTTAATGTTTTTTTATTCGAAATGTTGTTTTCACACTATGTCTGATATACCACAGACATAAGTGTAATAAGTAAATAGTTATGAGAATATAACAAAATACAACAATGAGTTTCTTATTGGAATCCTTCCAAATTACAAATATTATGTAAAGAAACATTAATTTAAACAATAATAACAACTAACCAAAGACGTTTTTATAATTTTAGTGAAACCTTATTGTCTACTAAATTAATTGCTAGAGTATTGGGGTGCTTATAAATTATATAGTAATATAAATTTATTTAAGATTGTATTCACTGGAGTATATTGCACAACTGTAACTGTCAGTAAAATTTAGTGTCATCGGAAATCACGAAAACAAGTGACTGTCGTATTAGATTATTGGTGCGTCTGATATATTTTTAGGTCTTCTGACAGCTGTAGTGTGAATGTAGCATTAGTCTGTTATCAAATATATTAAATGCCAATATATAATCCTGTAACGAATCTCTTTATATTTTTATATTTGCAGTAAAAAGCTGTTATACTCTCTTCTACGGTACGAACTGAAAAATCTGGATGATGTTTGATTTTAATCGTGTATAAACTGCAATCGTTGCTGTAATCTTCTGACCTTTTTATATTCACCACATTTGAGTACTCTAAGTTTAAATGTAACATTTATTTACATTCGTAAAAACACTTACTAATTTATCTACATAAATAATTTATTTGTACCATTTCAATTATGAAGATAATTTTGATGTGACCTTTAAGTCTTATATTGCTTCTCTTATTATGTTATTAATTTGAATCTATATTATATTAGTACAAGTTTTTAATTTCTATGGAAAATATATTATTTGAACTTTAATCGATTATTAACTAATAAATATTTCTATTGTTATTATGTTAATAACTGTAATATATTGCACATATAATAGATATTGATTAAAGTCCTTCTCCATTATTATGTTATATAAGTTATAAATTTATAGTAACTACTACTTTATATTGTTACAAGGCTTTGTCTTAAAAGCGGAGATTAGAGATCTAAGAATAAAAGTAATTATCGCCAACATGATTCGTTATTCTTTATATGCCGCCCCTTCATTGCGTAAAAAGAAACCCTCCGTTTATTTCGTTTCCTTCTTTCATTCTATACCCACTTGCTTATATTTAATGAGGGTCCTAATGAGGGAGGGAGGTTGGCTTAATTGTGTCCTTTTGAAGACAGTAGGCATTTGTACTTTGATATTTGCCAAGGGAGAACTTTAATCCTTGTTGCCTGGCTTGGTCTGTGCGGAGCACCGACGTCGGAGGCGCAGACTGTTAATGAAATAGTATCACAAGTTTCTCGAAAGCAGACAACTTGCGGTTAAGTTTCTCAATTACCTTTGATATCTTTGACAGATTTAACACTGAAATGCACCGCACCGTGTGCATCTGTTAAGCGCGAATTACTTTATTAATTGGTAACTAGATTCAAACCTTCGTCAACGATCCTTAATTGCCGCCGTGTCATATGTATGGAAGTGCCAGTTCCGTCCTATCACCCTTCCAACCGCTTTTCCAAATAATATACCAGATTTCCCAAAATCCCAGTCCTCCGACTTCACAAACGAAAATGCATTAGGGAGTCGCGGATGCGTGCTTGCCTTCGACGATTATGCTAAGTAATCCACGCTTCTAGCATACTGATATAACCCCTGCGCGCCTTTTAAGGTGTTTCCCATCAACTACGCTTTTCCATCAAAAATCCTTTTACCAATTCCACTGTCGCATTTTCCTCTGCCACGCATCACATTGAACGTAACTAATTCGGAACGTTGGTTAGGATTTACGTCCTACACCGAATACTGATTATATGATATCGAACAATGCCAATTAGACTAATGCACATT